CACCCTCGTTACAAATCAGCTGATAAACTAGGGATCAGCCAACTGGGCAAGCTCTCCTCCCTCCATTAGTGCTTTGAGAGAGAATGCCCAGGGGGTACATAGGAACAAAAAGGTTGGGATTCTCTGCCCTAGAGTATTTGAAGCTAAATACGATGAACACCAAAACAAGGTATTTTTTTTTCATAATGCAGTTTGCTATCCATTACACCCAGAAAAGTCCTACGATGGGACAGCGGTAAATCTAGGTATTTACAATGCTAAAATCCGGGGTTCGATTCCCCGCGGCGGACACAGCAGATGTCCTAATGTAGTTTTGCTCTCAAATAACCAACACAAAACCATTCGGAAAAAAATATTTAGCTATAAGCATGGAAAATTTTCTTCATTATTTTTCAAAATATCTACTTATTTCAATTAACATTTGATTGAGCTAACAAACACAAAAAGAGACTGAACATCAGCGGCATCTTGTTGCAGTAGCTAACTTCATCAGAATACATCTACTGAGAACCGTATGGTACACGTATACAACATGTACGGTTACAAAATTTGTATTATCAAGGATAAAGCTAAACATACCGAACGAAATGATAATTTGAAGTCATCAGTTTTAAAACTCTAGATTGAACAAATTTTAGTTTGTTTGAAGTTAAACACAAAACTGCACAATGGGCTATCAGTGCTCTGCCCAACACGGGTATCGAAACCCGGTTTCTAGCATTGTAAGTCCGCAGACATACCGCTGTGCCACTGGAGGGCTAAATATTTTACCAAATCGATTTATCATTTTAATTGCCCCCCCCCAGTGGCACAGCGGTATGTCTGCGGACTTACAACGCTAGAAACCGGGTTTCGATACCCGTGTTGGGCAGAGCACTAATAGCCCATTGTGTAGCTTTGTGCATAAATTCAAAACAAACAAACATTTTAATCCATACAGGAGTATATATATTTAACTGGTAGCTTTTCATCCCACGAAAATAACTTACCAATTTCCTAAAAATACTAAAAAAAAAACAACAACAAAAAAACAGTTATGCGAACAAAGTGATACTCCATCCTCCCCTGGGTGAAACCATCTGCCCCCCGGTGTCTTTTCTAGCTTGTTTGGAGCTAAATATACCACGATCTTCAGTATTATATCATGTAGTATATAACCTGAACACATGTTTTAGTGTTTTTAAAAATAGTCTAAGATTGGTTTTGAACCAGATGGGTCCTTAATGAAATCGACTTACTGGCTGTTAGGGGGAGCCTCCAGTAATAACAATAATGTAACATAAAATTGTTTGAAACTTCGAGAGTTTGTTTGTTTGTTTGTTTAAAGTTAAGCACAAAGCTACACAATGGGCTATCTGTGCTATGCCCACCACTGGTATCGAAACCCGGTTTCTAGAGTTGTAAGTCCGTAGATAATAGAAAATGTTTAACTTGTTAGTTTCTCATCCCCCCCCAAATGTTTTTTGAAGTAAAACGTTTAAATAGAAGAAAATTAAATATCATATTTCAATTTTAAATACGTTTAAACATTCACCAATCAGAAACTTGCCAAGTTAATTTCAAATTAATATAAGTAGTAAAAACAGTACCATCTTCAGTATAAGAAAAAAAACCGTTATAGATTTTTTTTATAAACTAATTATAGTAGAAAAACTACTAAGTTAATTAAAGATCTAAAGTAGTGGAAACTCTAATAAATTAACAAACATTATAAGTAACTCATCATTAGAAATGGAATTTGTTTAGCATTTAATATTTTTTCTATTATTTATTCCAGATCATATCATGTTTTTGGAGTAATTACCATTGTCTTGTACCTCTAGCTCACTGAAGATGGAATTCTGAAGATTTGAAACGTCTAATAAATACTTTATGTAATTACGTTTATGTGTGTTGTTTTTTTTATATTATTAACAGGCCCTTCACGAGCCGGTGGGGGACATTTTTTTGTAGAAAAAAACAACAACCCAATCCGGTTTTTCTTAATTTAAACTGAAATTTGTGGGCATTTTTATTGGCTAAAAAGAAGGCATTTCCCGCACTATTTTAGCGTTGGGACTGCGAAAAGTGATTTGAAGTGGTAAGGTGACTGAAATCCGTCAGCGCAATCACGTGCTTAACGGCCAAGCACAAGAAGCATGGAAGTCTCCAAATGACATGCAGAGGTATTCAGGAACCGTTTAGAACCACCTTGGTAGATATTGTGTAGCAAGCCGAGTACAATGTTATGCCTACAGCCGCTTTCAAAGTGTTCCTGTCTGCTCATCCTACTGCTGACTATCGTGATGCTTCGACCTTCCCTTCCGAATCGCAGGTGAAATCTTTCGTACCTCAGTCGAAAGCTAAACATAAAAAGGCAATAGCAGAAGCATAAAAGGTTGGCAGTTGCTTAATTAATAATGCTGAGAATGTGGCTTTATTGATATATACTTGATATAGACCTTAGTGCTAGCTAGTATGGAGACTTGAGGATGTTGTATTTCACTTAAACATTTATCAATTAACAAACGAAAACTTGTCTCGAAAACATACGTCCACAACCATCCTCTTTTGGGAGTTTCCAGATTGAGCTTACTTTTAATATTCAACAAACTGTAGTGTAAAGATACCCCTTGGCTCCTGAGGGACGTGTTAAAATGGAAATTACAATTATTTCCATCATAACACACATATCACTGTTAAAATACGCAGTTTATATTTCAGATATAACAATAACAGCATTTTGGGCTTCCAACAAAATAAATGAATTAGTTTTTTCATGTTTCAAGTTCAACGTGTTTTCCAGAATTGGTAAATGTTCTTAAAAAAATACGTTGTTTTTAAGCTTGCAAATACGTTTTTAATGTGTCAGCTATTGGAGTGAGGAACAAGCCGTACACGACTAGAAACGATGCTGTAATGGAATGCTAAAAGTTTGTCTTCGTATGTTAGAAGGAAAAATATTAATAAATATTATATCAAATACTGGCTGATGACATGACATTTTAATGTAAATAATTAAACACAAAGGAAATCCTTAATGAGTCACCCCCCTTCCTAAGTGTAGACTGTAAACCTTTTTCTTTCCTGTCTGTCTTTCGGATTTGTTTTATTGTTCCTGTTTTGATTTTGGGAAACATCGTAAACAAAACACGATACTTAACTGGATGTACAAAGCTTCACAGAAATATATAAGTTCTGATTAGTTGATGAGAATGCATGTCTCCCCCATTTAAAATAAAAACAAAACTTTATATTATTTAAAAACAAAAGTATAATGTAAACACTATTTTACGTTAATAAATTCTTAAGACTGATAACAATTCTACACTGATTCCCTACTCTTTACTGGGCCAGGAGTGATCTAATAGTTAGCGTACTTGGACTGTGAATCAGAGGATTCATGGTTCGCAACCCTTTGCCATTGGTACGCTATAGGAGTGACGATTAGCTCTGACAAAAGTTATGAGTGAGTGCTTTTTACCAACTGCCTTTCCTCTAGTCTTTCAATTCAAAATTAAGAACGACTACCCGTAGTTGACATAAGAATGGCCAATGGAAATTATGTTAAGGTCACGACCTGTAGTGGCCGGTGGAGTGGAGGCCAGTTCGAGAGAGGGGGTAACCCTCATCTCGACATCAGAAACTGTCAGGTAGCAAGGCAATTTGTTGTACATCAACTGTGTAGTGTTATCATCAAAGCCAATGATATACTGAAATAGTCAAAAGTAGTCTAAATTCTGATGTTCATGTTATTAATTATCATTAATAAGTGGTACCCCAATAGGACAGGGGTAAGTCTACGGATTTACACCGCTAAAATCAAGGGTTCGATTCCTCTCGGTGGACACAGCAGATAGCCTGATTTGGCTTTCCTATAAAAAAACACACACACACACACAAATCTTATATGTATTGCGAATCATGGTGTCTGTCCGAGCGTTCATCCAGCTCCCGCTTGAAAAGGGGCCCGGCATGGCCAGGTGGTTAGGGAGCTCGACTAGCAATCTGCGGGTCGTGGGTTCGAATCCCCGTAACACCAGGTAGCATGTTCGCCTTTTCAGCCGTGGGGGGCGTTATAATATGACGGTCAATCCCACTATTCGTTGGTAAAATAGTAGCCTAAGAGTTGGCGGTGGTGATAACTAGCTGCCTTCCATCTAGTCTTACACTGCTAGCACAGATAGCCCTCGTGTAGCTTTGCGCGAAATTCATAACAAACAAACCGTTTGAAAGGATGCGCACGCAGGCAAAGCTTAACATTCACTTGTGAAATAAATGGATTACAGTCATGAATAATGTTGATGGCAAATTTTATTTCGCAACAGGATATTCTACACTAGATTATTAAGAATTAATCACACTATCATTCACATTTCAAAATGTGGCGTAACTTCAAGAATAAAAGTATACATTTACCGTATGTTATTGCTGAGCGACTTTTAGCATGACTGAAATGCTCAACAATTACTTTTCGCGGTGGGTGGTATAAGAAGCTCAGAGCTTTGGTTGTGAGTGAAACCAAGAGCGCAACACATTTAACTTTTTTAAAGTCCATGAAATAATTTAAATTTGTACCGTCACTGGGGACGGGTACTTTTGCTTGTACATAAATATGTGATTGCTTGCTCTATTGATGATTAATTCCTTATGTTGAGGTTATGACTGGATTGAGTACACAATAGTAACATCTGGATTAAAGGTATATATATATAGAAAGGAACGTGATTATATCATTTACTGAAGTTGATGTTGAAGCTGACACATTACAAATCAAACAGGCCCGGCATGGCCAGTTGGTTAGTGCGCTCAACTCGCAATCTGCGGGTCGCGGGATCGAATCCCCGTCCCACCAAACATGTTCGCCCTTTCAGCCGTGGGGGGGGGGGGTTATAATGTGATGGTCAATCCCACTATTCGTTGGTAAAAGAGTAGCCCAAGAGTTGGCGGTGGGTGGTGATGACTAGCTGTCTTCCCTCTGGTCTTACACTGCTAAATTAAGGACAGCTAGCGCAGATAGCCCTCGTGTAGCTTTGGCGAAATCCAAAACTTAACTAGCAACCTCAGCTAGTAAATCCCCGTTTGCTTTGCGTCAATTAATTTTCAACAACCAAGCTAGTATAAATTATGTCTCCCTATCACTTCTCAGAAAAAAAAAAAACTGAAACCAAATGCTTTTCTAGGGTATACACACGAGTATTTCCTTGGTAAAATCTAGGCTAAAATAATTTCAAATTACTTCCTCATGTACAGGAATCTGCTACAACTCAGGTAAATGTTTTCTATATAACCCGGTCCACGTGTAAAGCAGCAAATTAAAAAAACAATAATGAAACTGGTATCCCACGAGGAAAGAGTTTACTTACCGTTAAACTCTTTAAAAGTGCTTGGTATTAACCTTAAGCAAACCTGTTCGGTTATCAATATGTGTGTGAACATCCCAGTTCTAAAGAAAAAGCATAAACAACAAAGGATTTTCACTGTAATTGGATGTTGTCAAGGCACTTTTCACATTTATTAATATACCCTGTTTAGATCTCATGTGTTTTATATCACATCTATGTTTGAAGTATAAAATCATAGTTAGTTTATAAAAGAAACTAACAAAAAATAAGTTAAATATCGACTAAACTCCATAAGCTATATGTCTATTCTTTCTTTAATGTTAGTGTCATTATTGTTATTAGTTAATATGTATAATATATATAATTATATTATACTTATTTGTTTCCCATGTTTTCATTATAAAGAATGTTTTACTTTATTAGCTAAGCATACGGATTTATGACTAATCTAAATCTCCTAAACATGCCGATCCTCGTGAGGTATTATTGGGATTACGGCCAAAAATGTCGATAATAGCGAGGGTAGACAAACTCACGAATCAATGCACTTTAGTCATTGTTTTATGACACAGTATACTGCTAAGTTCGACTGATATATTAGATTAGCTGCAATATTTCTGAGTTTATACTTCGTATTCATGTAGCTTGCTTTAGTAAAAAGATGTATTTATAATAACTTTTGAAAGAAAACTGAGGTTATAGTTTTCCATCTATGTGCAGAGGTTTAAAGTTATTTTTCAGAATAAAAATCGCAAACGAACATTGATAATTGGAACAAGAATACTGACCAAACAAATCAAATCAACCCTTGTGAGTTAGCTACTGTAACTCTAAGGTTTCTCACAAGTGTAGTTAAAACGTTTCAGTACGCATATAATCCAGCTTTACTGCTTATTCGATTAAAAGTTCATTCGTGACTTCAAATAACGCTTGCGCTTGAATGTTCAGAATATCGCCTTAAAAAATATGAATTCTCTAAATTATCAGACCGGCCAAGATTGTATATAAATAGCAAAAAGATAACAAATAGGTGGAGAGATTTAAGCTTAAAAGAAAAGTAAAATTTTCAAGCAAACTACTTGGCGACCTTCTTATATATTTTACTTTAAAGAATGTTTCAGTAGACGGCGGTGCAGTCAGCACAAAACCGGTTTTACAAAAAAAAAAACTATATATTGCCTCCAGATAAACCGCATAAACTATGGTAAGTATTGTCAGTTGATGATATTTTCTTGGCACTTGGGTATAATGTTATAATGTATAACGTTAAAATCGATACACAATTAGAAACATTTCTAAAATGTGGGCTCTAAATGTTACAACGTTTGCCACGTCATCGTCAGGAATGTTTGTTTCGAATTTCTCGAAAAGCTACACGAGGGCTATCTGGTACACAAGGATTATCTTCGCATAACTGTCCCTCTGGTACACAAGGATTATCTTCGCATAACTGTCCCTAATTTTAAACTGCTAGTCTAGAACGAAGGCAACTGTTGAGCTGCCCTTGTCTAATCGAATAGAGGGATTGGATCATCCTCTTACAGCCCACC